AGGAAATTTTATAGATGTTGCTATAAAACATCTTCAATCACATGTCCCTGTTCCATAAGAGACGAGCTGTCAAAATTATGAGCTCAAAATTCAGCTTATTTTTGTTGCGTACATTTAAAACATGCTTATTTTCCCACACGATTAAATGTTGTTCAATGTAAATTCATTTTTCCGTTACTTTTAGTACAAATATGTTTTGTTTTCTTTGCATTGTTTATATTCCAGCAGATTTTAATTAAATATATTTTTGCTCCTTTTCCTGTAGTTTTATTTAAATTATTTATTTTAATAAATGTTCTTCCAGTAATCGAGAACTACTATGAAATAATAGAATTAATAGTAGGCAATGACATTGCTATAGCTATAGTATAATGATAGTTTCAATCGAGGAGTTTTCTTTAGTCACTCTTTTGTTCTGGAAATGTTTTTAAAATATTAATTATAGATTTTGAAGGAACCATTAACTTTTTCCTATTTATTGTCTATTTATTACACATGAAAGCTTAAATAATCGAGCACTTCTGATTTTATTCAATTAAGTGTAATTTTTATGGTTTCCTTATATTATGATAGATTTTAAACCTAAACTCGGTACGCCACTGTACCAGGGACCATTGTGTTTACTTATGTATCATTTGTTTATCAACATACAATAGGTTGAGGTTACATGTTTACATTGTGTACTGAAATAGGGAATGCGGCCTCCCCTTTACTTATTACTCTGAGGTTATCAGGTTAAGTAATAAACTGATATAACCTAACTTGACAAGCATATCATGTCGATTTTTTCCTTTTTGAGCGCCTGGGTGGGGAATTATTTTTTTAATGCTGTGTTCAGCGAATGATCGGACCGGTGAACCGGTCAAAGTCATGCAGCGAACAAATATCGTTGGTCAGCCCAATCAGCTGATTGGGAATATTATGCAGATTTTAATACAGTTACTAAAAACCGTTCAGCGAATTGTTTGACTACAACCATTCGCTGAACACAGCCTAAATCAGACATATTGAACAACCTAATCCTGCAACAAATTAGTGCGGTGATGAAGCCTTTGCTATTGTTCCACTTTCAACATGTTTATAAGTCAACTTTGAAACCACGACAATAAACGGTTGATAACAAGTTAGAATCCGAAACAACATCCGCATCAAAACAAGGACTCTACAGCTAATGCTCGTTAGCGATATTCGTATTGCCAATCCAACATTACCAATCAAGGAAGCGAAATCCTACTACTTTGGTATTCGAGGCTGTTTGAAATGGTCCCCAGATTTGCAAGAACTTGCGAAATTAAAAAACTTTTCGATTCTGGGATGTTTGAAATCATTTTTATGAAATAAAGTAAAAATGTGTGCGATCAGCATAAAAAAATAATTTTTAAAACTATTTAATAATTTAACCGTCTATTATTAGTACCAACATACGTACAAAAAATATACAATGTTTATACAGTTACTAATAATATCTTATCAAACACGTCTATATTCGGAGAATAGTCTTTTGGTAGTATGTATTTTTGGTAAATTTTCCTTGGAGTCCTGATATGTACTTAATTGCAACCCTTAAATAAAACTATAAAGTCTAAAATATTTAACTATATGCAAAGCATCTGAAAATAACGTAAATATTTTAATAATATTGTTATAATAGCGCTTACAGAAATTATTTGTCTTATTTTTCGCTTTAATTCTGCTTGTAACACGCCTACCACACCTATCACTGTCTACAAACTCGCGATCACCCTTTTCAAACCAGTTTATTGGTGAGAAATATTGGATGGACTTCCAATATTCCTTCAAACTTAAAACGAATCAGAGGTACATCAATACAAAATATCAGAAGGTAATCAGCAATAATTGAAGTGGAAAAATTCAACTACTTACATTTAATTTCGTCATTGTGCTGAAAAAACGCAAAATTTTCAACTCCTTTGGAAAAGTTACACTGATTAGATTATTGTTTGGACTTATATCGATACGCCTCTAACGTAAGAAAAATGTGAAATTATGGCTAATAAAGAAAATGTGACAAAATTGTAACATCCAGAAGTGCACTCAAAAATCTTCCATTTTGCTTGTACACTAAATATAGGAAATTTAAACTGTTAATAATGTCCAATATCCATCTTATTGCCCGAACTTAGCGCCATTAAACTGTCATTGTTGCGACCCTTCAAAAGGCATTTTCAGGGCCAGAAGTTTACAGATAATACTGAGACAGTTGAGGCCAAGCTGCATGTTTTTAAAGAATATCCAAAAGCTTATTAACACGGAACAGGAAGACTGACCACATCAAAAAACAAGACAAATACTTTCTATAAGCATTCTTATAACAATGTTATTAAACTATTTATGTACCTGTAAATTATATTTATGTATTTTACATTGCTTATTTTGTGTATAATAAATATACCATTATTAATTCCTGTCGTTTAATGACTTTGGTAGAAAACAAATGTTCGCTTGATTATGTGTACACTTTTAAAGTACCTACCATGTTTCTTCGCTTTTTACAAATTGCATTGCCTTTCATCGACCATAGCTAGGAATCTTTGACCTGCGTTTGTTGTTCTCGGATTAGGTTATATGGGGGCCTCCCCGCTATCAAAACTCCTTGATTTTGTTGTTATGAACATAATTCCACCTCAGACAATGATGATTCTCTAAGATCTAAGACGTTCCGTAGCGACCTACTTAACTGGTCACATTCAATGTTTCCAAATCTTTCGCCCTTCCACTGTTGGCATCTTCGTTATGGTCTTAGAACCAATAAGAAGAACTGAAATTAACTTGGCGCGGAGCCAGATCTTCTGATAGAGGCCTACATTATATTTGTCAGAAACGTAAACGTTAATATAAATATAATCAGTAATTATAAAAAATATAATTTAAGGGAAAAGTTTTTAATGTAGTCATTAACCAAATTCCAAAGTTTATTTAAATTACTGTCCACGTGCCTCTCGATAGTATTCATGCACATTACGCATTTCCGGTTCTCTTTATTGTTATGGGTTGTAAGATGAGACATAATGTTAAAAAATGGTCGTATGTATTTCGAATTGTTTAATTGAAGGTTAGTCATCTGATGGCTGACAAATCAGGTGTGTCATAAAAAATTTGATTACTAAAATAATTGTAGTAAAATATTGAATGCGAATAAAATGTAATTACATGTACGTAAATTTAAACAATACACTTTTAGTAGGTATATATAAAATTTATGAAAAGGAAGAGGTATTACAAAGCATTATGTAAATGCAGACAATAATTACCTTTGACCTTTTGCCTTTTACCGGGTATTTTAAAATTAGGCTCGCCAAAAACAAAGCCGGGCTGCTGTATTCTCAATAACACTGCATTGGTTAGTACATATTAATTTTATCTCGGATCTTTGTGCACAACCAGCTATGTCATTTTTTGAAATGAAAAAAAAAACGTACAAAATGAAGGAGCATTTTACTTGTCCAAATTTAAAAACATCTTTTATAAACATTTACCCTTGAAGCTCTTTTTTGATTTGGAGGTTTATAAAAACAGAATTTTTAATTATCTGAATAATTATTAAGAATTATTAGTTAAAATTGCACTTATTGTGAAAGGTTAGATAATATTTCAAAACAAATTTTGTTTTGATTATAAATGGTCCTTCAGCTTTGCATAACTTTTATCGTTTTTTAAATGATTTTACAAGAGATATATAGTATGTCGCCCCTATACCACTATATGTCATTGAAACACACTTCTTGCTTTAAAAGATGCTAAGAAAAAACTTTGTTTTCCAATGACATGTCATAATTTTTTAGAATAAAATTTAGAAATTTAACGTTATTTTTTTAACTTAACTTCACCGTCTCAAAATCAAAAGTTCTAAGAATAAATATTTATATAGAAAAAATATTAAATTTGGACAATGAGTACTATATTTTCTATTTTTTGACATGCTGTTGAGTTACTACACCCTATACAATACTTCCTTTGAAACATGTGTCAAACTTTGTACAGAGTGTCCCGAAATTCATGCAACAAAATTTTGTCATAGATTCTTAAAACAAATTTAGAGGATCCGTATTTTTTCTTTTTGCCCCCTCTTTCGGAGTTACAGCTCCCTGAAATCTGCCCCTAAGAAGTCTTTTTATATCTCAAAACCATGTTGTACGAGAATCACTAAATTTCACAGGGGTTTTATGTCATGTGGAATCTCACAGTGATACGCTTTTTAGCGAGAAACCCTCTTAAGACACTTTCGTGGGCCCTCTTGTCTTTGGAACCAGAAAAATTTGGTCACAAATTTGATTTTTTTTTAAATTATTAGTTAGCTAGAAAGCCATTGAATTTAGAAACTTTTTTATCTCTTGATATTTGTTTCGTAAAACGCAATGTTTTTGATGAAAATGGCGAATGGCGATATATGCATTCGATCACATTTTAACATTTTTCTCGAAAACATTGCCTTTTACGAAAAAAGTATCAAGAGACAAAAAGTTTCTAAATTTAATGGCTTTCTAGTGGACTGATAATTTTTAAGAAATTTAAATATGCGACCAAATTTTTTTGGCTCCAAAGTTAAGGGGGTCACGAAAAATTGTCTTAAGGGGGTTCCTCGCCAAAAAACATAGCACCATCAGATTCCACATGTCATAAAACCCCTGTGTACCAAATTTAGTGATTCTTGTACAACAGGGTTCTGAGATATAAGAAAAGATTATTCTTAGGAACGGACTTCAGGGTGCTATAACTCCGAAAGAGGGGGCCACTTGGCAAAAATAAGAAATACGGGTCTCCTAAATTTGTCCTAAGAATCTGTGACCAAATTTTGTTGCATAAATTTCGGGACACCCTGTATAAAGCTGGAGTTGAAGTAGACACTGAATTTTATAAATATAGTTGTCGATGTTACTGGACATATTACCGCTGTTTGTATTGTAAATTGTAGTTAAATAAAACTACTTTCTTATTATTTTAATCCAAATTGTAATTTAATAATTTTTTTTTTCTTCCAGTACGGCATACTTCTGCTGATCATTTTGATTTTGGAAATAACAGTAGGATGTTTGGCATTGATCTACAAGGCTAAGGTAGTCTATATTCTTTCTCTTTTATTATTAGGTCTAGTTTAATAAAAATCGCTTATATTGCGTTTTTGCAGGCTGAAGAGGAGACCAAGAACATTTTGAAATCGACACTTGTAAAGTATAACCAATCCGCGGAAAACGGCGACGCCATAACTGTGGCTTGGGATTCGTTGCAAGTTAGTTTACATTGTTGTGGCGTCGACAACTATACCGATTACCAGAAGAACGACGCTTGGGCTAGGGGGAACAAAATCGTCCCGGAATCCTGCTGCGTATTGGATGACGTTACTTCAGCGCCGTTAGCCCCAACTTGCACCACCGCACCGAACGACGTTAATTCTTATTACATGAAGGTAAAGCGATTAGTGTCAAAGTTAATAAGTAGGTAGTTCTAAATTGGCTTGTTTATGGACATCCCTCGAGGATGTGGGCAAACTTAAAAAAGAACCCTCAGATAAAAATAGGTAAAAAGACTTTGGCCCAGAAATGTACTGTTTCTGATACTTCAAATTTTCTGAAATAATTTTTTTTCTTTAAAATCTCAGGAATGCATAATAATAATTTTACATAATTTGGTACAGTAATACCTCAACTTACAAAAACATGTTCCATAGTAATTCCACAATTTATTTACTAGTGCCGTAGAGTTTTATCAACCTATTTATTAATCTCATTTTGAAGTGTCTCTGTAACATGTTTTTGAAGAAAAGAACTAATGTTGGAGTAAATTTCATAATAATTTATATATTTTTTTTATTTTACAGGAGAAACTACAGTTGTCTAACTTTTTTATTATTTTTTTTATCATATGGTTCACCCATAAACTCATTTGCTTATTTTTATGCGAGCATATATTCTCTTAAAGTTTGTGCCTTTTCTTTTGGGATTTCTTATACTAAAGAATTTGCTGCCTAAAATTTTCCCTCAAACTTATAAATAAAGGAAGAACAATTGGAAATATTACCAGTATGTTTAAAATCAGTTGTATATGTATTTTTCATATTACATTCCTTAATTTTTACAAATAACGTATTCAAAAAATTTATCAAGAAATTATCATACTGCAAATTTGTGGCTCCAAGTTAATAATAAATTACCAAATTTATTGGTCATATTTAAAAACATTAACTTTTAGAATAATAATCAATTTGATACCAAACCAGGGCACAATATAATACGAATTGGTAAAGATATAATAGAACAATGTTTGCTTTTAACATTCTTTTTCAGATGTTCCTAACCACTTCTTTAGAATGTGACAGTGTTTACGTCGAGTAATGTACGTGTTGCAGCATACTGCATATTATTCTATTTTTTTCATTAACCATTTTGTCGTTTATAACAGTAACTCAAAAAAATTAATCGAAAAATGTAGAATAATAAAAATAAAATAAACAGTGTACCTGAACATAAATATTCCTTACTTTTTGAAAAATATATTATATAAGTTTATTATAAATGCACGGTTTCAATCATTCAATGTGCCAAATTAAATTTCTAGTCACACTGAGATAGCAAGTTTTTACTTAAAGATCTGAGCTAGCATGTTTTCCAAGCTTAATTTGAGATAGCATGTTTCCAACCGAAATTTGAGATAGCATGTTTTCCGATAGAAATCTGAGATAGCATGTTTTCGTACTAAAGCGTCGACATATAAACCTATTTAAATATTTAAAATACAAACACCGATCAACATTGTAGAATGTAACTTATTGCTGCCTAAAAAATATTAAGAATCACCAAAACTGCCCGACAAATAAATTAGAATGAGTTCTGGTGTTTCCTATTTCTTTACCAATTTATATATAACGTATCTTCCAATACAAGTTGAGTAGTTTGTTGATTGATTAATGTAGTCAAAATTTGCTGAATGTATCTAAATAAAGATTAACATAGCAAATTACATATAATTTTTTTTTCAGGGCTGCTACAAAGCCGTAATAGACTGGATAATGACCAACTTAAACATCATAATTGGAATAGCGATTGGTTTCGGGGTTGTCGAAATCCTCGGCATATTCTTATCTTTCTGTTTAGCAAAATCTATAAACGGTTTCCGTAAATAAAGGAATATTAAACTGTTGCGATAACTCTTAATGGGATCAAACCTGAAGCCTACACCTAGGCTGTGATACAAACATTCAGATTTCTAGTCGTAATATTAAAATAAAAATTGATAGTAACAAAATGCAGCCTATATGGAACTATACTAATAACTGCTCATGTATATATATATATATATTTTTAGATAGGTGGCTATTATTCAGAATAAGATATTTACAGTCACTTTAGTGGTTTAAGAGATGTGCCACTGTTTTTCTATGTGTAGACATAGGATGTTTTTATTTGGTTGACTGAATGTTACTGAAAGGCTTTTAGCCCTAGTACCTGCTGAATAAATACATAGTAACATTCTGGGGACTGAAGCAACTGATATTCAATTTAAATCTCGGCTATGCGACTGTAAGTAACTTACAGGTTCCACAGAATTACCAATCCTGAAATGTTTGTGTCTGTTTTATATATTTTTTAATCCTTAAAATCGTAATATATTCTCAGTATTATTTTAGGTATTAAATATATAAGTAATATTACAAAGAGTTGTGCCTTTGTTGTGGTACTATTTTCTAAGATGTTGATTGGATTAAAATTGAAGTGTTCGGATCACTTATAAGGTGTTAACATTAGTTTTTGTAAGTGTTTTTAATTAGTTACTAAATCGCAAACAGAAATATATTTAATGTACAATTTTTGTTATACTTAGAAATGTAGATACATCACATTTGTAAAATAAAGAATAAATATAATGACCCATTTTAATTTAAAACTCCTTCCCTATGTTTCTTGAACTCGAGAGGATCTCATTTTACAAAGATTCATCCGGTAAGTATTTCAATTTGTAATGTTTATTGTCTTCAAATTTTAACTGAAAAACAAATTGAAGAAGTGTGATTTTGGGTTGATGAAGTTGACTACGAAAATTTTTGTGGACAAATATATATTTTTTTATTTTGTAAATAAGAAATAGTGCATGTCTGTATATAATTTATAACTTATTTTGTCTATCTAAAACTAAACTCAAAATGTTATTTAAAATATTAATATTTATATGCTCTTTGAATTGTAAAATACTTTAAGACGGTCCTGTGCTGTGTGATACATTTGAACTATTCAGTATACACAAAATTGTTTTATAGGCTAAAGTCACTGTTAACTAATGGCCGTCAGATTCGAAGCCAACTTCAGACGTAAAAAGAGTTTAATAGTGAATTTATGAGTGATTCAATTAAAATTGCTTCTTTCAAGTAATACTTAACATCGCATATTTTATATTAATTGACATATTAGTTCAGCAAATACATTTGCAAGAAACAAATGATAATTTGTGAAAGGATTTAAATGACGCGGGTAAATTAGTTCCGATCTTTATCACCAAGTTGGTGTCGCCTCTTCATAAAATAAAATGGTGAAATAAAAATGACAGCGTTTTTGTAAACTTAACCTGAGTGAGATTAGTTTGCAATAGATTTGTCAAATAATACATATATTAAAGAAATCATGTAAATTACATTTATAAAAAATATAGTGAGTGTTTAGATTGTCTACTTTAAGCAAGTTAGAGAAACGGAGAGTTTAAGTACAATGGCCCCTGTACCTTTAGAGGGGCTACAAACTCCTGTGGCTAATTCCGTTGCCCAGGGAGGACTAGGCGGACCTCAGGAAGGCAATAGAGGTGGAATGATGTCGCTTGCAATGCTTATTGACTTTATTGTGCAGCGAACCTATCATGAACTTACAGTGCTGGCGGAATTGTAAGTAGCTCTAATACTATATCTTTTCACTTAATTTACTTAAATATTTTGTATTAGGTTACCACGTAAGACTGATATGGAACGTAAAATTGAGATATATAATTTTGCTACTAGGACAAGACAACTATTTGTAAGACTTTTAGCTTTAGTGAAATGGGCTAACAGTGCATCGAAAGTTGAAAAATCAGCAGTAAGAATATCCTATTTATAGTTTATATTTTGAATAGTATAATTATTTATTCTAGCGAATAATGAGTTTCTTGGATAAACAGTCCTTACATTTTGTGGAAACTGCAGATATGTTGGCTAGAATGGCAAGAGAAACTTTGGTACAAGCACGTCTACCAAATTTTCACATACCGGCTGCTGTGGAGGTATTAACTACTGGTACTTATGGACGTCTGCCTGCTTGTATAAGGGAAAAGATTGTACCTCCCGATCCTATAACTCCAAGTGAAAAGCGTAACACATTGCTTCGGTTAAATCAAGTCATTCAGCATCGACTTGTTACTGGAAATTTGTTACCTCAAATGAAGAATCTTAAGGTAATATTAAGAAATCTCTTGTTTTTTTGAAATTGTTACATTTCATTTTTTTAATTTAGATTGAAAATGGCAGAGTAACTTTTCATGTTCAACACGAATTTGAGGTCGCCTTAACTGTCATGGGTGATGGTCCTAATATTCCTTGGAGATTACTTGAAATTGACATTTTAGTAGAGGATAAAGAAACTGGAGGTACATTTTTTCATCAACAAGTTGACACTTTTTCTATAGGGTTATTATTTTAGATGGAAAAGCGTTAGTCCACTCACTTCAAGTGCAATATATTCATCAACTGATACAAAGCCGATTGGTTGATAATCCCCAACCCTTAACAGAAGTCTACAATTGCTTACATTTCTTTTGTCAGTCGCTACAACTCGAGGTTTTATACTCTCAGACCTTGAGATTAATGAGGGATCGTCTTGACGATCACATTCATGTTGATGAATATATCCCTGGTAAATCTTTAACAGTTTCATATTGGCGGTAAGTGTAGGTATAGCGAGTCATCTTGGAATATTATTTGTAATTTTCTTTTCAGGGAGTTAACTAGCAAAGGTAAGGAGCAAGCTAATAAGGACCTGCGATCGGAACTAGGCTATAGATTGACTGTACAAGTTGATGTACACGATCCAGCGAGACCTTTAGCAGTTTTGCATATACCTTCCTTGGGAAATAAGGTAACCATTATTTTATGAAGAAATAATTATCTAAATTTATTAAAACATCTTATTTATTTAAGGAAAGTGAAATTGCCGATAGAGCCATAAGGTCCGAGGTGTTATCTATGGAGAGATTGTTAGTGCACACGATATATGTCAGAACTCGCAGCAGATTGGGTGATATAAAATTGGAACTTCAAGGAATGCTTAAGGATGTAGAATGTAAGTTATTTTCTGATATACTTGGTGTTTGGAAACTTGAGCAAATAATTTAAGAGACAGATTCTTTCTATCCATAAAAATAATTTTAAAAGTTTCTATGACATTTTTTCGAAAACTAAATATTATAGTACAGTCATTGAAGCACCGAATTCTTTGAAACTGAAATCAATAGTTTTTTAGTTATTCACGATTGAAAACTTGGAATTTTGAGTGGAAAAAAACGCTTTTTCAAATTATTTTTCGCAAATAACTCAAATACTACTCATTTTATTTAAAAAAGTGTAATCAACAAAAATGTAGTTTATAAATAAAGAAAATCCGTTTTTAAAAAGTGTAAGTCCTATACAAAGTGAAATATGGTTAGTGGAAGACTTGTTTTTTTTGGGGGGGGGAATACTTGAATCGATGTATTCAATGTCAAATAACAGAAAAAGGATTAATTTTACGTGTATAACGCTCCAGGAGTTTTTCAAAATGAGCACTTATAAAAGTTAATTAGAGCAAAATTGAAGGAATTATTGTCAAAAACAGATGAGTTGCTCATATTTTTTAAGGAAAAATGAGCAGTAAACACTACCATTTCCATCAGAATTAAAATTAGTCGTAGACCCTTTACATATAGTTTTGTTTTAGTGTTTTTCATGCGATCCTGAAGTTAGACCGGTTTAGAATGCGTATTTTTTTTTAATAATGTACGGTAAAAGTTAAAACGTATTTTTTATTCAAAAAAAATTGTCTTATTTATATAATAACTCTGAAACTATGAAAGATACGTAAAAAATTATAGACAACAAAAATGTAGCTTTTTTTTCAACAAATATTTTGCTTTTTTTTATTCCTATAGCATAAAAAATAAAGGAGATATTGCCGCTTGAAGTATCCATTTTAGTGAAAAAACGACCTGTCTCGAGCGCTTCGATCTTTTCCCTTTAAAAAACTAAGGACTTAAAAGGTTTTATATGCAAACGATCTTACAGCTCTTGAAATTATCTTTAAAATGCTTTTTTGTAGGATACTATAGCTTCAAAATTAACCGAGTTATGGTAAAAAAACTAATGACATTTTTTCGGAGCAATATTATACAAATAAAATAAGTAAAAAAATTTAGTGTGATTATTTATATGCAGCATGGCAATTTTTTTTATGATTGATTATATTTAAAAATCTATTATAATAAAAATATTTTACATTAATATTTGTAAAAGGGTAGTTTATAAGAATTGAAAATGGCAAAAGTAAAATATTGTTTCATAAACAATATAAGGGAATTTTTATTTTAAATTATTGCACAATTATAGTATTCCAAGATTTAAAACATATTTTTTTACCATTTGTGCTAAAGCACAGGGGTGATTTATAAGGGTTGAAAAGTGTTATGAGATACAAATTCTTTCATAAGCAATGAGAGAACTTTTATTTTAAATTATTGCACCGTTAAAGCATTCCAAGCGTTTAAAAAGTAATTTTTTATCATTTTTGTCAATACAGGAGTGGTTTTTAGGGGTTGAAAGGGAAAAATTATTTTATTAGCTACAGGGTAACTTCTATTTTAAATAATTGCACAATTTAATCATTCCAAATCTTTAAAAAGTAATTTTATTTTTTGCATAGGGTTAGTTTTTAAGGGTTAAATAAATGGTCGATAAGATCAAATATATCATAAAACATGTTCGAGAACATGGAACATTATTTAATCTTTGTGCTTGAACAAGATTTTTATCTATAAAATGCTTAAAACTTAATTTTTTCAATTTTTTTCACTTACGGGTAGTTTTTACCCCTAAAAAACAAAAAGCGTCAATCGGGCTTATGTCACTTTTGAACTTGAGCCTAAAATGGGCCTTATTCTAAATTTTCATGCAAATCTATGCAGTTTCAAAGAATTCGGAGGTTACAGCTGATTTTCAGCTTCAATTAGCTATTAGTTAGAAAGTTAATTCCAGGTTTTTTTTTGAATAATTTTTACTGTAACTTTTTTCAGCTAAGCAATTTTTTATAATATGAAAACAAAATGATAAAAATTGTAATTTGCAAGGGTTTAAATGTTTCCTATTAACTAAAATAATTGATCATAACTTTTTTATTTGTGATTTTTCAAAAACTAAAGAACGTAATATCAAAGAACATAAAAAAATTTAAGGGGTCTCTTACTCTAAGGCGATAGCATTAATTGTTTTAGCAAAAGAAAAACATGTTTTGGGGTAGCCCTTAAAACTAGTTTTAATTAAAATCTGCCAAACTATCTTTAATTAGGTACACAGGTAAATTTATAAAAAATGTGTAAATTAAAACTAATCTACAATACTATCATATTTATGAGTAAAATCGCCTCCTATATTTTTTATTCTTTTCAGACACTGCCTTATCCAAGTAAACAACTGTATCTATGTGTTTTTCAGGTAACTTACAGGGTTCCCCAGCAATATTATCCGTAGCAATACTCCAGCCCTGCCTAAGAGCTGAGCAATTACTTATTACCGTTGACACTCACACAGGTATGTTGCAGTGTCACGTGCCTCAGTACGATCCGCCTCTAATTCCAGACCTTAATAATGCACTGAACGGTGAACATTCAAAACTATCGTTTCTCATTGGAGAATTAAGGTAGCCAACTCAGAATAGTTCGTAACATTGTAGTAGTTGAAGGCAATTGTTATTGCAGATTTTGGATTACACAGCGAAGATGTGAAAAAACCCTACAACATTTACCAGCAACGGCTCACGAAAGGTTGCCGTTGATACATCAATCCGATCATCCCATCACGAAAATAGGAAGGCACCGAATGTACATCCAGCTACATAGGCATCCGAATGTGGTACTGGTAAGATTTTTTTCCACTTTTCGCCATTTGTAATTCTTCTGATGACTATTAATTTTTGACGTGGATATGTCTATACTCCAGGTACTAAACAGTAGGCAGTGAGTTTTAAATAAATCGAACCTAAGTCTTTATTACTTCTTAATGTAATAAAATAATTTTGTGTATTCTCTCCATGGAAATTTTAATGTGCCGTTCATTTTGAACTGCGTTCTTATAATATTATCACCCGCACTTGGAACGTTTATTGTAACAACTATTATTTTTATCTTGACTTATCACGTACAGTAAGAGAGACGGCTGATGCTACGTGGTGTGACTTCTTGGAGTTCCGCCCTAGCTCAGTTTTCAGCTGAGGCATGTCAGTGTGCGTCATAAGCGTATTAGTGGGAAAGAATGTTATTATTTTCACATTTTAGTTATTCCAATAAGTGTTGTCAAAAATGGAATTATGTATTAGTGGCCAATCTGATAATCAGGCTAGTTGTAAACGACCGAATTTAACAGCTCAAGAAAGTTGTGTGATAAACAGTGTGTAGAGAAATCGAGCACGGAACGCATGGAAATGTGCAATTATTTAACAAAAGTATATGCCAGAAGTGTTTATCATGTGTTAAAAAGTGATGAAAGTTTAGAAAAGCAAACTGTGTGAGGAAAATAAATGAAATTCAATTATGTTTTACTATTCAAAAAAGTCAATGAATCGGCCGCTCTGGTCATAAATTACTTTTAACCTTTAAAGTAAAACCCTACTTTAAAGTAAAAATCTTGCTTACAGATGGTTGAAGTGAATAGTTTGTAATCTACTAGTTGTTCAGTAGCTCCTATGAATAGCTCCCCAATGTCTTTTCTTTCAGATAGTAGAGTTAAACGAAAAGGAAAATAGTCCTTGTGAAATAGACTGTTCATTTTTTATGGCCGTGGTAAAACACTCTGGTGTAGAGGATAATTCTGCTGATGATAACATGGAAACAGAAATGCCCAAAGCATTCCTAAAGGTTCAAACTCTAATAGAATTTGATACATTTGTTGCCACACATGGACCGTTCACTAGTATCGATGGTAAGTAAAAATATGTATTACTTATGTATGCTGCGGATTGATTCAATCTTTTATTAAACTTAAGGGAAATGTATGAAATATTAGAAAAGTTATTTTTCCCTTATATTTTCCAAAAGTTTGTTTCATTTTTGGGATTTATACAGAATATTTTTAATACAAATTTTCAGTTTTATCTTTATCATAGAAAAGGGGGAAGGTAGATATATGTATTTATTTAAAATAAAATAATTATACAGGGTTACAAATTTTTAATTGTCCTATGCAGGTATCTTTCTTATTTTAAGAGATAAAGAAATGATTAAATGAGAAAAAATGAGTATAATTTTATGCTATTTTTCAGTTTTATCTTTATCATAGAAAAGGGGGAAGGTAGATATATGTATTTATTTAAAATAAAATAATTATACAGGGTTACAAATTTTTAATTGTCCAATGCAGGTATCTTTCTTATTTTAAGAGATAAAGAAATGATTAAATGAGAAAAAATGAGTATAATTTTATGCTATTTCTTTTTTTAGTCATATTTCACTTGTTTTTCAATATTGAATTGTGTTTTTTCTATAAATTATTTTAATTTTTCTATAACAAAAACAAGAGCAATGAACAAAACAGCATATATAAAGCAAAAATTAAATGGGAAATAGAAATTTTATCACAAATGTTGGAAGTGCATACCCAGTGGCATAGCAATGGGCTCTCTGGGCCCATGCACAAAGTATATAAAAGGCCCTTCTCTTCCAGAAATTCCAAAAATAAAGTAAATTAAAAATAAACGTCTATGTGTGTACTGTAATATCCTTATTTCGATAAAAATAAAAAACAATAAAAATAAATAAAACCCTCCTATTACAGTGAAAATCAAAATAATTGTACTTTTAAAGACAAAAGCAAAACTAAGTCATGCAAAATAACCAAATGTTATGTTTGCTTTAGTTTATATTTTTTAGAACAAGAAAATAAAGATTTGACCAAGATTGTTTCCGTGGTACCTAACCAAAAGATGATACGGTGTGAGAAATTATTGTAACAGTCAGAATATTAATTTAAGCAAGACTTTATTCTAATCACAGATCAATTATTAAAATTGCACTTTCCGAGCCTTAATAATAGAAAACTTACTAATTTTTTAGGCTTTTTGTTTTTTTTTGTTTATATATTGCCAAAACTCTATTCTACGTCTACCGAGTGGCCGAGAATCAGAAGTTGTAAATAATTTTGTATAACAAACTGTTACTACTTTTTGGTAATTTACGTGTTCCTAAAATTTGATAAATAAAATCCATCGATCCAATACACAATTTCATTGTTTGCGTTAGGTTCTTGTGATTCTGACCATACCGAGCCAAACGTTCTAAAAAGAAAGGGAGGTATGAAGCCCGAATCTGCAACACGCAGGTCCAAACAACCCGCCTATTTTGTGGCGGAATTAGCCCATGTTGTGGCTATGTGCGATGAAAGACTACCTTTTGTCACTTTAGCTAACGAAGTAAGTTTCAATATTAAAGATTTAAATTGCAGTCGTAACGAAATATTTTTTTTAGCTGACGAAAAGGAACGTGTTTCATCAGGGCCTGCAGGTGGAAGCCAATGCTACCGGCTTGGTGCTAAAACTTATCCAGTTGCCATCTCCCACGAAAGAAATTGGTATTTCCCCCGCTTGGCATGCTCTGCTGAAGAGGCTTTTATCGGTTTCTATTCGCGTTTTGAGTAAGGGGGTTCTTAAAAGTTGGATGGTAGAGTTTGTTTTCTATTCGACACCACTCTCGAGTACTCATCCCAAAGAACAAGGTGAGTAAAATATTAGATGATTTTTCGTGTTTGCGTTTTTATTCTGTCATATGTATTGTTACTTAAAAAATTTACATTAGGTTCGTTAGATAATATTTAAATCACATCTCTTGGTTCATATACATTTTTCATATCACACACCAGAAATTTAACAATGAAAACACAAACACATCATACTCATACACTTACATCACACAAGACACTTCATTAAATACAATGATTTTAAATTTTATTACAAAAATAAACTTGATGAAACAACATTGCACTATACAAGTTCTATTTCTATTCCATCACCACGGTAGCGTAGTTGGTCTAGCATGTGGTGGCAAGCATTTCTCGGCCAGGATAATGGGTGTTTGTCCGCGTTTTTCCAAGTATAGCTCCCTTCCCCACAGGCTTTGGATTTGGGGGTTATCTCATTTCTGTGGTGTGTTTTTTTTTATAAAAACTAACGCTTCATGCGGAAAGTCCAAAAATTACCTACTGTATTACACTTTCTCTCAAACCAATAAACTGAAAACTAAAATAAATGTAATAGAATTAATCAGTGGGATATGTTTGTTTATTATCTGTCTAGTACCCTATTGTCATATCACATCAGGTGGATTAATATGTAGTTCATATAAAGTAGGTCAATGTCACAGACGATACTAAATTCACAAACTAAACACAGTGCTTTAAAAAATATTAACAAATAATTTTTATTAAAACTTGAAATAATTTAAAAAACAGACAATTGTGCTCTATGAGAAACCTGGATTGGTGTTCATACACTGGTTGGGTGGGTCCTGCTAGGCGGCCTGATGTATGGTCCAGTTTAGTTCCAGAAATTTTGAAGGGGTTGAAGGGCTGAAAATGATTTTGATAAGTTAGGTCATTTAGGGGTGTGAGTTTAATATTCCTAGGATGTTTTTGTTTTCGCCATTTTTTGGAAAGTGTGCCAAAAAATTGTGACACTTCTTGCACTCGTTGGCGACTTTGGGGAGAAAGCAGCATATGTTGTCAAATTGTTACAATATGTGCAGTTGTCATGGGACACCCTGTATTATTTCGATTTATAACTGCAGGCTCCAGACGTCCGATATACTTCCAATACGAGATGGCCACAATCGACTGCACTTCAAAAACCGTCGACTCCCTCTTGAGCGACTGGAGCCAAATCGTGCACCTCTACACTATCGTACACGATTTAAGTGAATATTTAAAAATAGGTAAGCAAAATTTACTGTCCCCATTACCGAATCCATAATGATTAACTGTTTTCAGACAAATACAGCTTCCTCTCAAATATGTTCTGCATAAAATCGTACAATTACAGCAAGCTAATTCTATGCTATGGTCCCGACAAGGGAGCGATGGTCTCAGTCACGTGGAATAACAATGACAAAATTTTTAAACTAGCATTTGGGGCTACGAATAACTCCCTCAATGCTCATTCTTTGATACAGGAGCAGCTAGAATCTCATTTAAACGAACACAGAAACTTGGCCCAGATAGTGCAGCTATTGCACGAAACTTACGAGCCTCTCTTGTCAATAAGCAAATTACCTACTATTCCTCAACTCGGAATACATAATACTGTAAGTCTAATAGATTATTATTTTTTTTATTTTTAAAATCTTGTTCTATGGCCAATTTCAAAATTTTTGGGTGGGGTTTCTCATATATTCAAAGGAGATAAATTGTCTTAAGCTCTATTTTTGAGAAAAATTGACCGACAAAATCTGCATTTTGATATATTCATTCATATTTTGTTTTTATAAAAAAAGAATTTTTTTACTACTTTTTTTGCATAGATTTCAGTGGTGTACGTGATATTTTTCTTGGAAAATATGTGAATCTCCTAGAAAGTGTACAAATCGACCCATCCTGGACTTATACTTATTTTCAGAGACCTCAAGTACCAGTACAAACTTTCACGATAATGCCCCAGTCTTGCACCTTGATCCGTTTAGCCTACCAGGGCATGTACTGTTTAGAGCTCAGAATCCGTGGCGCTGGATTGGTGTCTTTACGTGACGGTGCTTACAGCAGATTTGATCGCAGCAATGTGGTAGATGTCTTCTCGCCTACCCAAGGTTTAAAGGCGTTCTTATCGAAGTATGTTGATGAGACGGCTGTGTTTAGGAGGCGATCCCAGTCGGAAGACGACAATCCTCCCTCTCCAATGGAAGTAGAAGGAAGTGGATTTCTTGGTAAGTGAACGAAACATATCGTTGGTTTTTAAAGGTGTTAGTTTAGTAGCTTCTTAGGGTTATGAAAGACTTTTATTTTCTTGGGTCATGTCAATATTTTCAAGGTACAAGTTAAAAAATACAGTATGTATAAAAAATCGGGAATGTTAAGTGTGAAACAAAAATGAAATATGTTTTTGAGACGGTTTTTAATGATTTTTAAAAATTTTGTGCTGAATTTTTGAGTTGACGTCATGATCAGTTTTTAAGTAATACTTTCCAATTCTCTCATCAAAGTTTATACCACTTACATATTTAAACAAATTGAAGCTCCAATCAAAACTTTCGAAGTTACAAGTCAAAGTAAAAAAAAACAGTATGTAACAAAAATCGGGAATGTTGAGTGTGGAACATAAATGAATACATTTTTTAGTTTTTTTCGAACAATTTTGTAAAATTTTTCATTTTTTTTACTGGCATGATAATTTTTTAAATAGGATCCTCCAGTTTTCTTATCAACATTTACTAGAACTTGTCTAAATAGGCTGATACACCATAAGCTGGTCTGACGTTTGGAAATTATGTGTTAGTTTTACCCTGAATCCTTTTTTTCTTCTGAGAACATAGGAATCGTAATTTACAAAAAAACATCATTTTAATTTTAATTGTGACTAAAATAATTGTAATTGTGACAAAAAAACGTTAATTGCAATAATTATTATGTAATATGTTCAAACCGAGTACAATTTGTTGCCTGGTAGTACCTTTAAGAAATTCGCTTTGTATATTTTTTATTATTTTGGGAGAAAGAGCGACTCCGAAAATCCTCCATTTGCTCGCTGGACCTCGAAGTGAAAAGTGCTAGGGCGGCCAGTTGCTCAAACCTTTATATTTTTTCAATCACAACTCTCTTGCAGCCAAACGTGCCACCTATCATCCCCCCTGTACTAGATTGTTATATTCGTAATCAGCGACCCGAAAACCTAAGTAACCACCTTGACCTTGATGATAGACCATCTAAGAAACAGCGATTCTTAAAGGTCTAAAGTGATATGCTCGATACATAAGATTACGAGTATTATGACATGTATCACTCATATCTCCGAAACCAAAGCGGAACTCATCGTGAAACTTTCTCAGTAACACGTTCTAATGATGTACAATAACTTAGCGCTAAATTTTTAACGAATTACGAGTTTGCCAAAATGGGCGATTTTTGGGTTGTTTTTGGAGTCACTCCTTATTTGTCCCAAGTGTGATCACGTTTTTCGAATCTTCTACATCGTCCAAACATGACAAGAGGTATCGAGATCGATACTGTCAGGTCCAAGAAACCGACATGTTTTGAGTGTAGGTGAAATATAACCTCTAAAATATATGTCCTTAAATTTCATTGCTACTCAATGTTTAACGGTACAAAGCATTGCTTTCTACCTACTGACATAGACGGGATTTCGTCTAAATCATTGAGGGGGCAAACATCTCTCGAACCCCACACCCCCTAAAAGAAAAACTCAGAGAGATTGCAATTGCCCCCCCTCAATCCCACCTATGTCTACTGATACAGTGAAAGCTCCTAAAATTAAAACAAAATCCTCTAAGCTGATATTTTGTTAAAATGTAGAGTATATCAGAAATATAGTTTTTTTTTAATATAGATTCTGTAATTTTAAATAAATTAATGTACCTAATTTGAATAAAACCCCAACAAAAATTTCTTTGGTAAATTTTCAGTTATTTATTTTATTGGACAAGTTACAATTAAATAACAAATTACCAATATTTCCTCCATCACCCCCTCCCACAATATAATCATTTTCAGCCTCAGTGCTATTTTTAAAATCATATGTTGCATAATTGAAACGAAGATGGCAAAATATTTAAATATGTAATTTTACATTTTACTTATTCGTGTTTCAAAAATTTTTTTTATCCTTAATTAAACTATTTTTCCCCCTAAAGAAAAAAACCGATACAATTTCTTTACCTCTAAAATTAGTGGAAGAACCCCTAAGTTGGCTACACTATCTGTAAGTGCTATAAAATTGGAAATCAGAAAATTCTTAATTAATAACTTAATCGAATTTAATGTAGTATTTTTTTGACTTCCCACTTTTTTCTCACTTAAACTTGTTCCTTGCTCAGAAATTACTTGTAACCCGGAAATTATCATTTGTATGTCAGTAAAATTTAAAAAATTTATTTTATGGCTCTTTCACCCTTGTGTACAAGTTACTACTAATTCCTATCATTTTTTTTTTACTAATGACGTGCCGACATCTATTGTACGATTTTCATTTCAGGTCATCACCGGGGTCCACAGTCTCCGGCAGGTCAACGTGAACCCGGCCTTCGTTTTCATCCTCCTCTAACTCCACCCTCGGGTTCAAACCCTCATACACCCGCAAGTCCTCACACTTCCAGCATGAATCAACCCACTACTCATACCAGTTTCGGTTCCAGTCCAGCCACTTCCTTCAATTTAGCTTCCCCTACGTCCCTACCAACAAACATCAATCCCAGTCCAATGCCCCATCCTAGCCCAAGTGGTTTGGTAGCTAATTCCCCCCTAAATCCACAATTGGCTAGTCCCGGTGGACTTCTTAGTAATTCTTCGCCAGGACCGCAGCCTACGAGTCTCCCAGGTCATTCTCCCGTGAGCAGTTTTATACCAACAGGTGAGTGTACATGATTGTGTGCAATGTATATATACGAGGGTTGATCAATAAGTACCCGTGTTGGGAATGAAAATGCAAATTTTTCACAATTTTTTTTATTTTTCAACGTAATATCCTTTTATGTCCCATTTCTTTAACCTCTCCAAAATATACGATTTATCAAACTCTTCAAAATATGCTTCTGTCTTGGTGATAACCTTCTTGTTTGAGCCGAATTTTTTTCTCCAAAGCCATGTTTTTTTGTTGAGGAACAGGAAAAAGTCGCAGGGAGTCAGGTCGGCTGAGTACTATGGGTATAGTAGCAATTTGTTGCAGTTCATGCAATTTGGCTTTGACCATTTCGGATGAATATGCCAAATGGGGTCATGTCTCCATCTATTTCTTATGGAATCCGTCCAATAATTCACTGTCGTACTGCCCCATGATCGTTCTTCCTTTCTGCATAAAGTCCAAGAGTATTATTCCCTTCAAATCGTGGCCAAGACCTTTCCGGCCAATGCCTTCTTCGGAGCAAATTCACCCGGAAGAATCCATCGTTTTAACTGTTACTTGGTCTCTGGCATATAATAGTGTATCCAGGTTTCATTATCAGTGATGGCTCAACGCAGAAACTCCTGCGAATTTCGCTTAAAAAGGTCCAAACGCTGCTTCAACATTGAGAGCCCTATCCACCTTGTCCACCATGAATAATCGCGGCACCCATTGGGCCAACACCTTTCTCACATTTAATTTATCATGTGAAATATTGATTGCCCTTCCATACGAGACGCCTATGGACTCCGCTACTTCGTACTCTTTAGTTCGGTGATCAGCGTGAATCATCTTAGACGTTTTCAATGATTTCCTCGGTAACCATGTGTGCCGGCCGTCCTGGCTGCTCCTTATCAAAAACAGATATATGACTACATTTAAATTGGTTAAACCAATATCTCACGGTTGTAATAGATATTGTATAGTCTCCATAGACAGCATCCAACTTCGCTTTTATTTCTTCACATCAGTTACGAATTGATATTGCTCTTTTTCCATTTTATCGAGAAACATAAAACACGTGTGATACAACTGGTTGTCAAATAAAAACTAACCTATGATCAGTCTTCTTCTTCTTCTATATGAATCAGTCTAAAATTTAGTATGATGTCATTTGACATATACACAAGTACATGATGATAATGTCAACTTCCCTCAGCAATGCCACTTGTCTTCAAACACGGGTACTTATTGATTGACCCTCATAATGGGTAATGGGTAAAAATTAATTTAATAGGCATAGTTTGGCCAACTAGACATTTAAAATTCCTTCCGATGTAATGGCCCATACTGATGCATAAAATAGACAAAATGAATCGCTACCAAGTGGATATGGGTCCATTTTTTTCTGACTTTATTTCCATATGTTTTTAAAAATTATTTATGAATAGAATCATCTATAAAATTGTTTGCTCATATCGCACCCCCGCAAAAAAAGAGTGACTAGTTCTTTCTTTCACAAAAGCGTCATATTTTTATTTGAACTATTACTCGCTAGATGGCAGAAGTGACACTTGTATTTTGTGGTAGGTAGGAGTTAATTAAGTACTTTAACACAGTTTTTCTCAAAACCATTTTTTTTGAGTTGTGACTCCTTTCTAGGGGAGGTGCGATATACGCTTTTGTTCAATTTCCGTGATAATATTACAGGTCATACGGACGGCAGCCCATTTCCTTCTCAAAGCATGTCGTCTCCTGCCGCCTCAAACTGGCCTGGGTCACCCGGTATGCCCAGACCGTCTCCAGCACGGCCAGGACAATCTCCCGGAGGTCACTCCATCATGCACAGCCCACAGCAGTCTGATCTCAAGATCGGCAGTCACTTGTCGAGGGTGCTGCCTCAACGTTCGTGGGCAGGTGCCGTACCGACGTTGCTCACTCACGAAGCACTCGAGATTCTCTGCTGTCCGTCACCTCATCCACAGATGCTTCCCGGACCAGAATTGGCTCCTTTGGAGAGGTTCCTCGGTTGCGTGTATATGAGGAGGCAGCTGCATCGATTCATCCACAATGAAAACTATGTAAGTTGTTCTTGGCCTTTTTAAAAATATTGTTATTATAAGGTTAGGATGGAATGGGTCAAAATTAACATGACACGTTCATTGCCAGAGGACGCTTATAAGCGTCCAAGTGACTTGTGCATGAGTGTTTTTTACAAGAACTTATAAAACAGATAATAGGTCCAAATTGCCAGAATTCTTTGCTATGCTCACAATGTTACCGTTTTATATTTCGGGAATAGAGAACAAAAAAGAAATTAATCATGGTACCTTTATTGTTTTTCAAAACATTTTCCATGAAGATCAATACACTTTTGCATATGCTTGAACCAATCTTTGAAACACTTTTTCCATTCCGATTGAGGTCCCTCCAAAACATACATTTATAACGCATCAACCGCTTCATGCATTGAAGAACGTTAACCTTGTAATTTATTTTTGATATGCGAAAATAAAAAAAGTCATAGGGTGCCAAATCAGGGCTGTATGGTGGATGACTTATCAATTTGACTTTTTCAAGTCTCAGAAAGTGTCTTGTTTGTGCCGATATGTGAAAGCTCGCAATGTCCTAATGGAGAATGATGCGTATTCGGCGGTTGGTTTCCCTTATTTTTCCAAAGATTTCTGGCAAACAAATGGTTGTATAGAATTGACTGTCCAATGTTGCACTAATGGTACACGATGCAGTATTGGTACAGGGACACATGTCCTGTTTTCCAAAAAAAAATGACCATTTGCTTAGAAATGTTTCGTGTGCGAACAACTTTTGTTGGATTTGGCTCATCTTGAAATTCCCTACTGTTTACTTTAAAGCTCATACTCGTACATCTATGATTCATCACCTCTTATGATGTTATAATCATGTTTTGAAGCACCGTGATCATATTTCTTGTGCATTTGTCCACCAATCAACAAGCCTTTTTTTGAGTGTTTGTCAAATACGAGGTTGTATCAAATATAAACGGGATTCGTTTTGTAAAAAATTCTAACTTTATTTAATTAAATCTAAAAACATATATTATTTTTCTACATAGTCCTCCACCCTAGAAATACATTTTTCCCATCGGATTGAGAGCTTTTTTATTCCATCGTCGTAGAAACTCTTCGAACGTTGTTGTCCTCCAAGCGCTTGTTTGAGGGGTCTAAAAAGATGGAAATCGCAAGGGGACAAGGCGGGGTATATTGCGGATGTTCCAGCGTTTCCCAGCCTAATGCATCCAGTTTTTGCCTTGTGGCATTGGCCGCATGTGGCCTGGCGTTGTCATGCAAAAGAATGACACTTCTTACCGATTGCTTCTTCCTTTTCCTTCGAAATGATAATTTGGCGGCATACAGTAATTCACAATAATATTGTGCATTAATGGTTCGTCGATCATGGAGAACGTTAACGTGAAAAGCACCTTGCCGGTCAAAAAATACTGTTGCCATTGCCTTTCCGGCTGACAAGCGCATCTTTGCCTTCACCGGTCACCTCTCGCCGCTTTTTCTCCACTCCATACTCAGATGCTTCGACTCGAGCGTGTAGTGGTGCATCCAAGTTTTGTCACAGGTGACTATGCGATTCAAAAAAGCTTCACCCCTTGCTGGAATCGATTAGTGTCGCTGCGGAATCTCCAATCGATGTTGCTTGTATTCCTCTGATTACAGATGGGGAACCTATCTTTCAGACACTTCTCAAGCCTCTCAACAATTTCCCAGAGAGTTATGTGGCGATTTCCCTCCATGAGTTTTTGGACCGCCTCAATGTTGGCTTTGGTCACATTTGTCCTTAGGCGGCGCGCGTGGCTCTCGTTCTCGACCTTTCCACGCCCTCCAGAAAATTCTTTATGCAAATACACGAGTTCTTGACAGGGTGTTGTCCCCGAACTGTACCTGCAATCGCCGCAAAATTTCGTTTGGATTCACCCCCTCCATAGCCAAAAACTTAATTATAATCCGTTGCTCCAAGGAGACATGCACTTCTGTCTCGCTCATCGTTTCTTTGCATACTAAAGGGACCCAAGCGAATTGTGGTCAGTTCTCCCCATTCCCTAATGGTACAGGCTATCTGCGCATCAACTCCTTCAAGGTCAAGGACCTCTCCGTAATTTAAAAAAAAAATCAGTCCCGTTTATATTTGATACACCCTCGTAATATGGGTTCCAGCGTAAACGAATTTTTTGGTGGTCAATCATGCAACATTGAATGTATGTTTGTAACACTAATGCTCAAGGATGCCTCAATCTCATGATAAGTCACGTGACGATCTTGCAACATTAGTTCACACACAGTATCAATGTTTTCATGAACAAGTTCTTCACGAAATTCGTCATTGAGCGAACCACGGCCACGATTGAATTCTGTATACCACCTTCCGTATACCGTATACATGATGCTTCATCGCCAAAAGTCAAATTAAGTTCATATATGCACTGTGGTTTGAGATAATCCGCATCGGAAATTTTATAAAAAATCCATCGTCAGTCAAAACATGGAATTAAGTTGTGAACATTTTTGTGCAATTATTGCTTATAAAATCGCATGGAAATTAATTTTTCAAGTCACTGAACAACACAAATAGCGCCTGTACATCAGAAAGTTCTTAGTAAATATACTGACAAAAAGTCGAACTTTGTGATAGAGACATCAGTTGACAGATGGCAGCACCAGGTTCATCCATCTCGTATTTGGCATTGCTAAAATGAAATCTCTTTGTCTTTAAACAACCTTTACAAGCAGTTTTTATTCGCTTTACGTTCTTGATGTTTTATATCTGGAAATAGTGTAGCGAGAATATTGTGATTGTAATTATTTTCTATTCTTTTCATTTAATAATTTGATTATGAATTTATGCTGATTTTTGCCTTTTCAGCTTACAGCGATTCCCAACACCGAACCGGGTGTTATCCATTTCAAAGTCGCCGAAACGTTACAATGCCGCATTGGCCTGAACACACAGCACTTGCAAAGTTTGCACCTGAAGATAACCCCATTACCCGAGCACAAAGACGTATGGTCTCAAGAAGAACTACAGGTAAAGCGTTAATTTAACCCAATAAATTTTCATGTACTTTATTGTATTTTGTTTTACGAAGATTTTGGAAAAATTCTTCGATACCCGAGCAGCTGCGCCACCGTATAAACCAACGTCTATGTTCACGTTCTGTAACATGCTCAATGTACCCGTGAACGTCCTCAAAGACTTTATACAAATTATGAAGTTGGAGCTCATGCCGGGCCTTGTGCAGTCCCAGGGAATGAAGTGGTCAGTACAGTGGATGCTGAGGGTGCCACCTTCTGCACCTCCCATCGTCCCGACTGGAATGACTGGAGTGCTGGCGTTCAAGGCGAAAGTGTTGTTCTTTGTAAGTACATCTACTAAATTTTAAGTTTTCTTTTTTCTTCTATATAGCCAGTACAGGCTCCTACAGTCTCCCCATCCCGATAGACCGCCATACCCCAGTTTATAAGCTCACGATTTATGCAAAATTCTTCTCTTGGTACCGTAGGTTTATCCGAGTTATAATCCGGGCGAATTAGACCAAACACATAGCTGTTTAAAAAATCGGGCCTAACTCGAATTTTATGGGCTTAAAATTAAGTAAAAAATACACAGAATGAAAGCCTAAATTTGTGTATTTGTAGAGGTCGAGCGTCATATCGTTTATAAGAAAAGAAAAAAAATTATTGCTCTTTTTTCAGTTTTTTGCTTAAGTATATCTCCGAAAATAAGCCTCTAATCGACATGAGGTATTCTTATCAATTTTCTTCTTGAGGAAATTTGCTACAAGGATAGGCTTTTGCGAAAACTCTCAAAAATTTTTTTACAAAATTAACAGTCAAAAAAAAAATGTGCAAAATTTTCAGAATTAAATATAAAGAACAAATTTGACTGAAATTGGATGAAGCTACAGGAAAAGATAACCGTTGGGGTGCTCAACAAATATCCACAATTCGGACCATGAATTTCAAAATGGCGGCCTATTGCAAACTTATGAAGTCGTAAACGTGAGTGTGTGTATATTTTCTGCCCAACTCAAGATATCGAAATTTTGTAGAAAAGGTTCGAAAGGAAATTACATTATCTCACCACATCTGTGCAAATTTCAGATTTTTAAGTTGCAAAATAAAAAAATTATTAACAAAAAACCAAAAAAAAAAAAAACTAACTAGGTTCCTTATCTCGGCAATTTTTTAATATACAGATTTCAAACCAATTGTATCAAATAGTGCTTAAAAAAAACATGAATTAAGAAAAAAATAGCTCTTTGATCCGACCAATAGGAGCCGAGATATATTTTTTTTCTTTAAAGGGTATTTTGGCTGTTCTATTTAATATTTTGTAATAAACTTGAGCTCGTTGTAAAGTAGAAGACTTCCTTTATACACATACTTTTTTTTAATGGATTCGACCAAGAAGTGACCAAGTAAACGTTCGTTAAAGACGCATGACCCGCGCGGCGGCCGGCGCGGCTGACCGGTAGCCAAGAGGGGGGAGTGCTGTGACGTCATAGTGCCCATGCTGCGCTCAACTTCTCAAAATTTTTATTTTTACTTAAAAATGGATTGCGGCACTTAGAAAGTAGCTACCGCGATACTTTTTTTTAAATCAACTTATTTTTTTCCGCTCTTTTGAATGGTGTAAGCAAAAGTCTGAAAGTCATCGCCAGGTCCAGAAAAATACATTTTTATTGACTTTTCACGTTTTCTTTTGTAATTTCATTGTGCTTTCGATATTTTGAAAAGTAAATTTTTTTTACGTATTTAAAAACAAGTCAATTATTTCTTTGAAAGAAAAAATGATGAATGAATGAAAATTCTAGACATTATTTACGCAATAAGTGTAACAGTTAATTTTGAGCCAATATTTTATATGTCGACCTCTTCTGACCACGGTAAATTTTCATTCATTCATCATTTTTTCTTTCAAAGAAATAACTGACTTGTTTTTAAATATGTTAAAAGACAAAACTTTCCCCATTTTGGAAATACCCTTTGATGGCAAATGTGCGTTTTTCACCCGACCAAGTATCCATGATAAATAACTAACTTCTCACTCTCTAGATTCACAACGTGGACAGCACTAGTCCTCCTCACCTCTACTTTTTCTGTAGTGGCGTTTCTAAATCGTCCCGTTTCATTGACTCACTACTACTACTATTGTACTATTTCACAATGTAGCAAAATAACAATTTTCTTTTCAGTTGCAAATAACAAGAATAGGCATCCAATACCCACCCAACATGGAGCCCCCCTCGATAGTTCTTCCCCTGATATACGACATTGGGGCGAACGTTACACAGCTGGCTGAGAAACGTGAAACAGGACCCGTACCCGCCATGACCGCAGCAAGTCAGCTACTAAAACACTTCAGTCAGTTCCAGCCAAATATGTCGGAATGTTCTGTTTTCCCCGCAATTCGAGAGCTGCTCTTAAATCTTACTTTGCCTTCGGAACCCCAACAGCCAAGTCCGGCTCCCGGAGGGGTACAGCAAATACAATCCCCAGCTATGCAAATGCCAGGACAGGGTGGCCAACCGGGTTATGCCGTTAACATGCCGATGGGCATGATGGGACCTCAGTAATTTATTTAAATATTTGTTACATACTCTCGTATACTTGTAAATATTTTTTGAATAAAAATATGATTTTATGTACTTTTGTCATCGTTATTCCGTTGCTCGATAGGCTATTAGATTATTTTTTTAATTAGCAGAAAGTGCCATCTACTTGAGAGTATCGTTAATCGACCAAGATACAGTTACCTACTTATCTAGAAGGCACAATTTATTGCGATCTTCGAACGGTAGATGGCATTATAAGTTTATATGTAGTTAGGCAACCAGTAAAACCACAATTTATTGCGACGTCTGGATAATAAGATGGCGCCATAATTAGGCAACTAGATAGCGACTACCGTAAAATCGGTTAGGTTTGTCGACAACAATTGATAATATAAGGTTATGAGGTTATAATGAATTTTGGCAGAAATTGATCATCAATTTGTCTCATTGGAAAACTAAAAATGGATTTTTCAAACGGATCGATCGATTTATAACCTGATTCATATATCTGGGACAGCAGATCACTAGACGATGGTTAGTTTTTGTATAGGTCCTTCCATCAAGAAAAAAAAGTGAATATCTCGAAAACCGGAAGGGCTAAAGAGGAACTGATTTCACTTTCAGATTTGCCAGTGTTGTTATAGTCTCTAGAATTTTTTTCAGTATTTTCTGACGCCTAGAGATTTCCCGAAAAAATCGATGGACCATTAACATTTTCAAAAATTAAATTTTCAAAATAAGGGCAGCTTCGTGGGTATTTGGAGCCTCTGATCTCTACGGGATGGTTAGTTTTTGTATAGGTGCTTCCATTAAGAAAAAAAAAGTTAATATCTCGAACACCGGAAGGGCTAGAGAGGAACTGATTTCACTTTCAGATTCGCCAGTGTTGTTTGTTGTTATAGTTTAGAATGTTTTTCAGAATTTTCTGACGCCAAAGAAGCTAAAGTATGGATCTACTGGCATATACAACCGCATGAAAATGATCTTTAATTAAAAATCGGTATACTGCCATCTATCCATGAAAAATCTAAATATATTATAAATAACGCTGAAGTAATCACAGTTACCTCTTTTTAGAACTTCCTTCGCAATTATAATTTCTAAATTACAGATGGCGCCTGACGAGGTTTTGTCAATATTGTGAAATATACAGGGTCGGAAAGTCCCCATGGTTCATCGGCCGTTACGTGAAAGCGATAGGCATAGAAATCCGTGCGATAAAGATGGCTATAATGAAGGCGTCTAATAATCACCGCCCATTTCGCCCTTCAACAAATAAGATCCACTTCATTATAGCCATCTTTCTCTATCGCACGGATTTCTAAGACTTACTTCATCGCTCTCACGTAACGGCCGATGAACCAAGGGGACTTTCCGACCCTATATACTTTGACATAAATAATTTCAGTCAACAGTACATACAGGGTATTCCGAATTAATAGTTCAAGCAATTATCCACATATTCTTTGGACTAAAATAATGGAACTTTTCTTATGCCACTTTTCATTTCCGGGCCCCATAAAGATATTTAGTTGAAATTTAGCAGATATTTTGATATTAAGTCGGCACACTTTTTGTGTAATTTTAGTTCAAAATATTAAAACGTGGACGAAGGAGAGAGGGGGTTGCAGTACCTATGTACCCCCTATTTTTTTTTGAATATGCCTATACTCTCAGAATATTTTTTTTAGATATAGTCTTTTTTCACTCTTGTAACATTTTTTATTTGGGGCCTCGTTTACGAAATATTGTAACTTTTTTGGATATGGGGCATCGATTGAGTCGATGATAGACTTTATTTTTTGGGCATATGAAAGACTCCAGTGGTTATTTTTTTTAATTTAATTTTTTTTAATAAAATAGAAATGATCCATCATGATTAGCGATTTTTAATTTGAACTAAATCTAACATATCTAAAAAAGTTGCAAATCTCATATAGCAAGTACCAAATCAAAATATGGGCTTCAGCCTAAAGTACTCTTTACTCGTACAATTCGTTTCTTTAATTGTTGTTTAGTTAGCATTGGTACTATATAAATGAAATTTTTCATAGAATTCCAAAAATTAAAGTCTAACGTCCACTAAATTGATGTCGCGTATCCAAAAAAGTTACAATATCCCGTAAACAAGGCCCCAATATTGAAAATTTTTCATAGAATTCCGAAAATTAAAGTCTAATGTCGACTAAATTGGTGTAGCGTATCCAAAAAAAGTTACAATATCTCGTAAATGAGACCCCAAATAAAAATCTTACGAGAGTGAAAAAATAGAATAAAATACCACTTTATCTAAAATAAAGCATAGGCGCACTCAAAAAAAAATAGGGAGTCCATTGGTACTGCAACCCCCCTCCCCTCCATTCGCCATTTGATATTTTAACCCAAAATACCAAATTACCAAAAATATGTCCTTAAATTTCAAATAAATATTTCCACAATCACCGAAGTTATCAATAAAAATAATTTTTTAAATTTAATTTTGACACCCTGTATTTTGAAAATGGGGCTCCGATAAGAAAAGTCCCATTATTTCAGTCCAAAGAATGTGGTTAACTGCTTGATCTACTAATTTGCAACACCCTGTATATTACTGCTTCTTTTTTGGTTTTCAATGATTTCTAAACCTTGGGTGTATATGTCGACATTTATTACAGCATTCTTTGTATTTTATTTCAGGTTACGACCACAGTTATGACAATGACGCAATACCATAACAGTTTACTTTTGACATTTGAATGAACAAAGACACAAAAATATGGAAAAGAGGCATACAATGTAGAAGCGAAAAGTTAAACAACTTCTCACAAAACTAATGGGGAGCGAACGTTCAAAAAATTATTTTTACTTCCACCTAAAAAATTTAAAAAAAGTTTGTTACTCCTGCCTCCTCCAGCAATTAAAAAAAGTACTATCACTGTGTGAACCCAATTTACTTTTCTAAATTAGTGCCAAATAAATACCTGTAAGAATGTAAGAAAACACGATTAGTTTAATTCTTGTCAAAGTACATACAATATAAAACAGGACAGACCTAAAAAAAACTATCTTCACGAATATTACAACAGAGGTTAATTATAGACAATAATTTATTTTTAAATCGAATATAATGTTTGGTTAAAGTTACATTTAAAAAAATATTCACTTTAAAATAATCTGAAAAGTAAAGGAAACTGTTTTTCTATGAACATTAAAATTAGAATGAAGGAAATGAAATGCTGAAAAGGGACAATATAAAAAATATTGATAAACAATATTTTAAACTTACAACATACATATATAGTTTTAAGCCGAGTTTTAAATATACATATAAAATAAATAATATTTTATGCACATCAGTCTTTCACGAAAAGTGCTCCAGTATTGGGTAACTATAATTTTGAATTTTCAAAGTTTAAAGAAGCTGATAACTTTATGGGTTGAGAAGATTCGGTAATGAGTGGCTGCGACTGCTTATCCAAGGTTTCGTTCGAAACTTCAATAATAGTCTTATCATCTAAACTCTTTGTTGTTGGTTTTCCATCGTTAATGGAATGAAAGAATTGGCTGCGCAGGATTGCTGCTTGGGAGGAATATTTACGGGGCTTCTCATCTATGTCAATATAAATACTATCGTTACTGAGGGTGTCGCATACGCGTTCGCTCTTAGAAAGTGTTGGTTTCGTAGCACATCTGGCACGGAAACTACAGCTGCTGCCGATGCTCGTTTTCTCCGCCTGAGACGAAGTGATGAAGCTCACGTAATCGTCAAAACGGACTCTCTCTGATGTGCAATCTTCGGTTGTAACGCAACTGCACGAGTCACTTCCAGGAGCCTGGAAAGTTACAATACTGAAAATGTATATTTTCGTAATCGCATTAAATACATAAATCAGTTAAAAATATAACACTAAGTTACCCATTGTGCAAAGTAGTACTCAATCGTTATACATTGAGTTCGGAATCTACTTAAGAAGTGTGAAGAATTTATGAGATACAGGCCATAGAATATTTGTTAATATAGAATGTTTTTCTACCTCGTGCGTCGAATGCAGTTAATTCCAAGAAAGTGACGCAGGGGTATTCTTGGAATTCTATCTGAACAAATATTGTAGGAACTGTATGTGGCTATATGAATTTGTAGTCATGTAATCGGGCAAAAGTATTCTAAACAATATATGTAGTTTGAATTAGAAAAATATTTCAACAACACAGGTGCATTTCTAAATATATCAAAAAATAATAGATTCATAAAAAAGAAAATTGTTAAAACTTATTGGGAACCTCTGGAGTCATCTCCAACTTATATACTACATAAAAATAGGTATATAGTTGTGGATGTGTCATATTTTTTTTTTAGCAAGCAGAAAGATTGCTAGTTCAATTTTAGACAATAATTATTTTATTTCATTTTCATTAGCGAATCACGTAGCTTTATTATGAAAATTATTAGTAAACAAATGTTTTAGCGTAGTTATATTTTGTAATTTTTCCTTACTTTTACTTTTTTTGTGTGAAATAGAAGTGTGCCTATGGTGTGTGTATTAATAAACGCAACTGAACATTCTAAAATGGTCCATCATTACAGTAACAATAAATTAATAGACAAGGTGGTAACATATGGAGCTACTGATGAAAATTGTGAATTACCCTCGTATGTTTATGTACAGCAATTTTCAAATAAGCATGCACCAACATTTGCAAACAGAGATATCTGTGAAATCAGCGGTTCCAAAAAGGTTTTCATCATATTAATGTGGTAAGTCAGTGTATGAATTAAAAAAGAAATTATTCTATTTGCAAAAATCATAATTTGCATCTCGATTCATTTACTCTTCAAACTCATCTTCAAGTTTGTAAGCATCTTCCAACTGTAATATTTAACAGTGTCAAACATGCACAAAAATGGAAAACCATTATATTTACCTTATAATTCAGCATGGACCCTGCTAGAGCTCTAACACTTGCCCCAGCATCGTCAGCTATACTAGCATTGACCGATTCTGTCAAACTACTGAGACTGAATCTCTGTGCAGATACCAGATCGGCCTGAACTTCCAACCTCTGTCCGGCGTGACCAACGCTACCGGCTAAAGCCACTGTGCTTGCGGATTCCCTATCCATCTCCCTCAACACTTGACTGCCACTGGCCATTGATATACTCGCTTCTCCGATAGACGGATTAGGACCTTTTGTGCTTACTGCGTCTATGGAAGTGGTGTCTGCGGCTCTTGACGTGACAATGTTGGAATCTTCAGAAGCAGAGGAACCCCCACAGCCTCCTGAGCGGCACAAGGAGACGGGGACTACTCCATAGACGTAAAATAAGAGAATAGGAACACCTATTCCTACGGCCAAGCCAGCCAATATAGGAGAGATCACAACCTGGAAAAAAGAAAAGGCGATTGTAATATATTCATCAAAACTGATCACAACTATCAAAATTTTTTTCTACTGTCAAATAAATTATTTCATAAGATTATCGCAGACAATAATAGCAACAAATCAGTGTCAGTATTACTGAATGTGGTAACAAGAAAGTACTTAGGGACATATAAGATATGTCCAGCGAGTAGCATGTTCAGCTATTTTCAGTAGTTTTTTTATGAGTTGAGGCAAACAACTTGGTTCCAATTCGGTGTTGCTTTAACTATAATTTGGATTCATTTTTGAAAAATTTTTGGAAATTAGGAATATCTTCGGCAATACTGTGAAGTTATTTCAGAAATAGTAGAAAACTTAAACCTTTTTTATTGTTTGTTTGAATCAATTTCGGGATCGCATTCTTTCACGATAAAAACACAACTGTGCATACCTCTCTATAAAGTAGATAGTTTTTTTATTAAAGCTATATACAGGGTGTTTGTAAATAACTGCGAAATATGCTTCGTTTCCGAGATAGTGTTTAAATTATAATTTACTTATTTTTATTAATTATTTCAGTTTTAAAGATATTGACTCAAAAGTTGAAAAACGCTTTGAAGGGATAAATGTGTATTTTTTAGGGTGACCCCAATATTTCTACTTGCACCTTTAAATAGAAGATTAACAAAACCTACAATAAAATATGTTTTAGTTTTTTCCTCAAAAACGGTGCATCCTACGAAAAAAATTGAAGAGACCAATTTCATTCAGAATTGATATTCGCGGATTTCTAAAAAAATATCAAAACGGAAAAAAGTCAGTGGGGTACAATTTTTATTTTATTAGAAAAGTTTATGGTATTCTCGCACGAACGCCACTGGTGCAAGTACCAGGCTATACCAAAAACTCCCTTCATTGATATAGCTGAAAAATTAAACAAAAACAATCTTTGAAGCCTGTAACTTTTCAACACTATATTTGGTTAATTTTATTTGTAATTATAACGAAAGTGCTTCATTTGGAAAATTGAGTCAGTTTCGACAAATCCCGACATTATCGCACGAACCATCAAGCAACGCCTTCATCATTGGAAATGTTAACTGACCCTAACACATATCCGTCTCGTCGGGTCGAGCGGATGGATACCCTTTACGGGGCAATTTAATTGCAATTAATCCGACGTTACTTGAAAGGGCCCAAAGAGGGCCCGCTGCTTTGACGACCGCATCCCTAACGATGATGACGCTGATCGTGATCATATGGACACAGAATCTATCGATTCCTGGAAACGGGATTGCCTCCGACGAGAGAACGGAAGGGATCGCGCAAATCGCCCTCATCCGGACCGACAGGGATGAGAAAATTAAAGATAGCTAAAAATTTCTGATATACACGGACAGTTAATCGTGATGATTACATTTGAAAATAAAAAAAGTTTCATACACAATTTCAGTTTAGAAATAAAAAAAGGATATGAATGATGGCTTTCCAATTTTTTTATACTGCCTTAGAAAATTAAAATAGGTAAAAGATAATGTATTTTTTATTTACTTTGCTATAAATATAAACGAAACATACAGCAAGCATTTGTTATAATAAACAATATGTGGTTGTGAATTAAAAATAACGCATAACACTCGGTACAACATTATAAAAAATATAAAAAAGGTGATATTGGTAAATATTTTAAAATATTTATTCAGTCTCTATTTTACTGAAATTCTCAAAGATGGTTTTAACTGATATTTTACGTAGACAAATTATTTCAAGATATGTTTTGCAAAAGAAAAATTGTCTATTTTGATAGAACAATCTGACAACAAAAGTTTTCATCCACTTCCTTCAATTATCGAAGACATCCAGCTGCTTCTACCGAGAAATGAAATTATTAGATTATTGCCTTTTTTGTTACATATTTTTATTTTAATTTTTAAAGTCAAATAATATCTATTATTACAATCCTCATAACCACATAACCACATGTAAGGGATGATCTACAATTCTCTTTTGATGCGATTTACTGCTTTGCTACTAAGGTATGTGTTTTGAATGTGGGCACAATGGGACATAAATCTCTAAAAAATCAACAACATGCAATAAAAAATTTAAAAAAATATTGCCGAAAAACACTTTTTGAGTTAAAAACCGTTAATTTTTTTTTTTCAAAATGGCAACTTATTTGTTCGGATTCCGATTTGTTCGGATTCCGGTCAGACTTTTTACATATGTTAGAGTACACATTTTGTCTCATTCAAACATTTCAATTGTAAAGAAGTATCGCATCTACAAAACAATATTGTTGCTCAAAATTGAATCAGTTAATGAATCAAAAATCATTATAAAGGTTTTGACACTTACGTTCCAATTATACAATTTTTGTGTAAGATTTCTTAATTTCTGAAGAAATTTTTAAATAGGTATGTTACACGGTAGTTATTTATTTTATAAAACTTATGTAACATGAGTTAGGTAATACAGAAACCGATAAATTTAAAAGATTTTTGGGGGCACCTGCAGGAAAATGCATAAATTGGCACATTAATGTTTACACAATCGAATACAGTACGACTTGGTATAGTTGTTACGATCTCAATTGGAACTGCATAAAAACATTTAACTCATAATCTCATAAATTCTACGGAATCCATAAACGTCCAGAAAAATTTAGCCCTGTCTCGTCTAGATATACTATATTCCGAGCTATATTACCATATAATTACCATACGAGTTTTTTATGTTTAAAATCGCATTGTAATAAAGCATGTCGTAAAATGTATAAAGATTTATAATTATAATCAGGATAATCGCTTAATTTATCTCGAATCATGTTTAAAGTAGGAACTTTATTTTCTTTATACATATTATAAAATTGTGCGCCGCAATACATGGTAAAATCGTCAATTTTCTTTAATTTTGTATTTTTCCGTTTCTTTCTTTAATTACGCGATAAATTGTCGTTTTTGTTATCTTCATTCATTAATCCGTTTCCTAACTTTTTTATCACATTGTTCACTATCTTCAATTGTCAAACATTCATATATATTTAATATAATACCAGAGAACGTTGGTATAGTGTTCTCTGATAATACGTTGACTTTGTACGTGTAAATCTTTGTTTTTAAACTCTTGAGTTTGTTTCGATGCTTTCGATAAAAACCGGTTCCACTATTTGGGGATTTTCCCGAGTTATTTCGTTATCCTGCGGTTCAAAGAATCTTCAGAGAGCCACGCTAAATTACTAGATAACATTTATTTTAATAACTATAATCCTTTACTAGTTACGATATGAACAAATAATAATATCAACTAATAAATAATAATACGTATAATACCCACAACATACCCCGACAAGCAATGCTCTGCATTGCACTGGCAAAGCTAAGTGAACCCGTGTACCATACAAAAAAATTATTTACGACCTAGTGGACCATTACAGGTTTGCTTTGATGATCAGCGCGCCGCGTCAATTCTACATCAGGCGGACTAGTTTACCAATACCGGACTCGCCGAATTGCTATTCGAGTATAAATTACGTGACACATCATGGTCAAAGCATAGGGAGAAATTTCAGGAGAAGTGTATACGGTCCTGTGCTTTAAGATTTACAGGTTCCAATTGACATCGTAACAACTTATACGCAGATGAATCTATTCCTAAACCCACATATTTAGTTAGAAACTACTAGATTTATCGTTCATTAAGTTCCTTGCTTAATTTGTTGTAATTGTAATTCTATTATTTTATTACATAACATGCAATAAAATAATAAACACTTTAACTACTGAAGAAAATTTCTACACAAATGGCACCGCTGCAATAGAACTTCATAGACGCCTAGTTTATCCTTCTCTTACATACGCATATGTGCAAACTTATCTCTATCGCATATATTTCCGCTGATGGGGGGGGGGGGGGGGAGGCGTTTCACATTTCACATTAGTTTTGGAATATCGTAATATCGATGTCGTTTTGATTGTTTTATAAGTAGTGCGACTAGTATAAGTATATATAGTAGTGTATAAACTTATGAGAAATAAGAGTTATGTATGAATTAACAACACTGGATCTTTAAAAACTCCATGTATCGTTATACTGATAATTTGCGACTGTTCACCATCCCTCCTCGTTGAATTTGTAAAAACAGGAGAAAATGCCTAACTTTAAACGACGTCGGTACAAAGTAGGAAACCGATTTTATCGACTGGACTAATTGAGAAGCGCTCGGAATTTTCCGGGCACACACCAGACTGCGTCCTCCCTCCACGACTACGACAGCAAGTCGAGGAAGCCTCCACCACCACCACACCCTTTACTCGTACCATAGACTCGGCGCATGCAATACGAATCGTCCTGCCGCCGATCCTGCTGCCACAACCAACTCCTGTCGCTTCCCGGATTTCGGTGGCGTCGGACAGGAATCTTACGCTCGCACTCTACCGGTTCGTTCAATCGTCGAACGCCAGTGAGTGCCGTCCCGTCGTGCTGAAAACGCGTCTCGCGATCGAAACGATGGCCGGTACAGATTATTGACGAAAGTTCTCAGTGGAACGCGATGTCGGAAAGCGAGGAGGAGTCCACTAGCGGCGCGGACTGGCCCGTGACCGAAGAATGGCTCCAGGCGGTGCTGAAGGAACACCACAAGGAGCTGCCCGACCCCGCGATGATCACCGTACTGGATTTTACTGTGAGACCGGGCTGCGAGTCGGGGGAGAGCGTCCTCAGCGATATCCTTGCTGTAGCCGTCAAATACTGCTTGAGGTACAAGTTTGTATGTTTGAAATGAAACAAAAGTATTCTTCCTTTACAAACAAACGTATTTTTAAGTCTTTTTAATAGGAATTTATACTGTTTTCATCGTAAAATATCAGAATTGTCGGAGCTCTTGGTCCCCCTCGATTGTGGTACAATAAAATGAAGCCAAATGATTTAAATTTCTTATCTTACATTTGCCATTGTTTGTTTTTCTATTGAATATTTTACTAGTAAACAGGAAATCGTCAACACGTAATTAAATGGAAATACTGCTGCATTGTTGTCATATGAGAGATAATCAACGACTAAACATGAATAAACTATATAATTTGTTTATCAGTTAAAACCTACTTTTTTCTGAATATATTACTAACACTAGATAACTAGATTACTAACATTAGATAGTGTGTTCTCTTTATCCAGACATTTTTATGAACTTTTACTAAATACAAGAAATAAGGAAAGGAGTTGATCACATACAAATAGTTTGGCATTTATGCATTTTCAATGTCAAAAGCTACACAAAAAAATGTAAGAAAAATTAAAAAATCCTTATTCTTCAGGTCTTAATATAACTAGACAACAAATTTAGTAAAAAAAGTAGCTTTAGAGCTTTTTCCCATTTTTTTTATAAACTATTACATTAGGCCTCGATCTGAAGAATTAAAATGTTGTCATGACCCAAAATACAGTTCTTTCCTTCCTACATCTCGGCACTAAGTTGCTCAAATCAAATAGTTAATAAATGTTGCGAAGGCGTTCAGCCTTCAAACTGGCCACACTGTTTTTTACATATCTTTCTAATTTATCCGTCAAATTCTGGTTAATAACGTCATTACTTCCTTCACCAAAATAAGAGAAAACCATAAATTAAAACCTAGGAGCAGTCACAAATACAATACACACAAGAACAGTTTTCTGACCACATTTAAAAACATTCAAGGATTTACCACAGGAATGTGGACAGTACAATCTGCATAAGCGAACCCGCAAAACTATGGCTAATAAAATTTTATTTTCTGCATTTGAAGAAACAGTGTAAATTCAATAAACCAACTTCCTTCCATTATTTTCACATTTTACCACATAATACGTCTAATTTTCAGGGAAGAACCAGACGGGGTGACTCACAGCCTGAGTTTCATAATAAAATTACTACCTCAAGACCCATTTAGCAGGTACTTCGTGACCGAGGCACAGTTTGATTTACGGGAGATTAAATTTTACACGCAAGTAAGTTAAGTTTTTATTAGTCCACGCTCTGTTTCCACAGGTAAATTTAGGCAATAAAGAAACACTAAAAGTAAAGTATTTGTTAGTTATATTCTACTCCTTTCGAACAAATCCGTCATTTCTAAAATCACTGTGATGTCAATCTTATTTTTACAGTTTAAATTACAGTTAAATTTTATACGGTTTTACGCGGAACTACCTCTGTTATTACAAATATGATTATTACTGATGATACGTCCAACATCAATTTTAACCTAATGAAAGCAACAATTGAATAATTCTATAGACGCTGGATGACTAAGCTTCCGTTATGGCAATTACTTGATTGGTTGGCTGCACTAAAAAATTAAGCATTATATTTAACTCCCCTTGTTTCTCTAAATTATTTTTAGCTGCATATTTTAAGTACATATTCTTCAAATGTAAATATTTATTTAACACTGCTACTGCTGATAAGAGTGAGTAGTTAGTTATACACACAATGTTATATATCAATTATTATTTTAAATGCATTTCCATCGTGCTTTATATAATTCTCAAGTAAATAAGCACATTGTACAATAATTTACATTCTGAAAACATAAAAGAATATCGAATAACGTAGAAGATTTCAAAGTGGTCTCTTTAATTATTGGAAAGAAACTCGAAACTGCATGTTATACACATGATTTTTAATTGTTGCAACCTTTAAACCTTTAAACGACCTTAATTCGTTGTTAAATTTGTGACGACTCAGATATCTTAAAAAATTGAATTTACAGGTTGTCCCCGATTTGGAAGCCTTCAAAGAAACTGTACCTAAAAGCAGCGACATTCGTTTACCCATTCCCAAATGCTACTACGCACACTACTCTGCAGGTAAGTCAATACGTACGTACGTATCCGGAAAATCACTGGGTTTTCTTCTTTCCAGGCACCAACGACCCCGAACCGAGCCCACCCGAATCCGTCCTAGTCTTAGAGAACATCAAACCCCAGGGCTACAACAGCGCCGATTTTTCCCACGGACTCACCCTGCGTCAAACTACGGCCGCCGTGGAGGCAATCGCCCAATTGCACGCCCTTTCCCTATCTCTTAAAGTCAAAGAGGGAAAATCCCTGTCGGAAAGGTACCCCTTCCTCTTCCAAACAACGAGGGCATCGGACTCTTACCAGCAACTGGTCGAGAGAGGACTACCCCAACTGTCCCAGTTCTTAGAAAGAAGACCCGGCTTGGAAAGCGTCCTTGCGGCCCTCAACGATCTCAGACCTCACACCAAAGAGATAATCGAGAACCTGCTGGCACCTGAAGAACCCATGGCTCTAATCACCCATACCGACTTCTGGTGCAACAATCTGATGTTCCGCGAAGACGAGGAATCTTGCGTCTGTTCCATATTGGACTGGCAAATGGTGACGTACAGTCGACCAACCAACGACCTGGCACTTCTGCTTATCAGTAGCGTACCAGCTGAACTAAGAAGACTGCACACCGACTCCTTGCTCGATGGGTACTGGGACTGTCTTACATCCACCTGTAGAAAACTAGGTCTGGACATCGAAAGCGAACTGGGGTACGACAGGAAAAGGCTAGCCGAAGACTACAAGAGGTCGCAACTGCTAGCACTGTTACTCTGCATTGGATCCGTCGACCTGGCACTGGGCAATGCTCAAATGGAGGAAAGGCTGTTGGTGTTGCTGCAGGACCTGTACGCCGATGGTTTGCTGAACGCGGACCTGGCGGGACAAGCTCAAGTTTAAGTGAAACAAATTAAGTTTTCAAGTGATATTTGCTGTGCGGAAAAAAACACGATTTATTATTAAGAGCTTTACATTCGTCATAATAGATTGCAACTGATTTTCTTTCAACACTGGCCTTTATATCACCAGTAGAATCGTCTTTAACACTTCCTGGTCAACAATTGGGAAGATATACATAAATAAATAGAAACAAATCAGAAATAAAGATACTAAAATTTGCATTCAAGTTAAAAATAGTATGTTATAGAAATATATACTCAGACACATCTTTGATATGCCGTGCTCGTTTCCACATATCAGTATGATTACAAATGGGCGAATCTCGGCGCCGTGTCGCCATTCAAGCTGTTGATATATGGGCCGCCGATTTAGCAAGCTTTTTTTATCCTAACACAGTTTCCCGGCCACTGGAGTTTCACTTTGGAGTGCAAAAACTTGTGATCTATTATGAAATTATACGTATATATAAGAAAATTCTTCGCTTAAAGTTATACACAATATTTTCGTGCGCAAGTTTGACACTGTGTTCCGTGCCAATAAGTTTTAAAAAAATGGTTCAATTATAGCGTTTAGATGAAGGTGTATTTATTCCATTATAAAGCAAGCAAAGATATGTAGCCAGTAGGATTCAATCGACATTTATTACTTTGTCCTATTTATTCTTAATGATGATTAGTTGAGATTAAAAGTCACGTTTTATTAAATAGTTTCTTTTTAATCCCACAACAGAACGCAATATTACTCCTAACGTAAAAAAAATGAAGTGTGAGAAAACATGTTTGATTAGTTAGTTCAAATTTGTAATTCCTACAGAAATAATCTATTGTATCACATTTTCTTGATATAAACCTTTCATACTTATTTAAATACAAAATTGTTGCTCACTTCTGCTTCTTTAGTTTACGAATATACGCAAACAGACTTGGAAAAGGGATTTAAAATAGGCCGCTTTTTGGCATATCTATATCTATTATGAAAGAAAAATGCCATTTGGCGCCTATACAAATATATTTCCATCAGTATCCAGAGCCGCGAGCCATTCACTTAAAATAAATGGCTTACGACAAAGCAGCCTTGTCACTTTTTTCTGTTTCACATTTCACGTGAAGGCGGAAAGAAAATGGGGGGTCTATTGTTCGGTTGCGGGTTCCCTTTAGCTTTTCACACACCACGACGGTGTTGGAATCGATATCTCAAAAAGATAGAACTTTTTTATATTAGCAAATAAATATCATTTAATAAAAAAACATTGATATTCAGAAACAAACTAAAGACGATAAGTAATACAAATTCTGTTGAAATTAGTTTTATAATTTTTGGTTCCAGTCCAGTAAAAAGAAAGTCGACGGTTCGAACCTTTAGCGCCTTTAATTTTTTGTCCAAATTTGAAAGTGAACAACCCCAGAAAAAATATATTGCTATTCGCAGAAAATATTAATTGACTGTATATTTTGCATTATACCGTTTACCATTGTACCATTTTGTCAAATCTTATTATGTTATTATTTTGACAGTGCCAACGAAACGCCAAAGCAAATATTACTACATCGATGAATCTTAAACTAGAATTGTTTATGTCGGTAGGGGTCATAAAACCGATTGTGTGTTTATAGTTCTAATCAAAAATCAAAAAATGACGAAATACATTTTATGTAAATCTTAATATTATACTTCCAGAAAACGGTGATAATACAATGAGCATAGATTTCTCAAGTAAAAACAATTGGATTGAAGACAATTTAATCTAACCATGTTTCGTTTAAAAGTTACAGGGTGTTTTACTTTATTTATTTATTTGTAAAATTATATGGACGCGGTAATACAAATTGTTTTCAAATATCTCATTCATTACATCAGTGGCGTACCAGGGGACATGCGCTTTCCGTATTTTTTTAAATATTTTCCCCGTCTGTGGGTCTCTTCAGCAAAATTACTGAATTATCTGTTGATTCCTCACAAAAAAAAATGTTTCCTCAATTTTTTTTTCAAAGCGAACCTAATCGGAATCAGAAATGTAGTAGTTTTCCTTAAAAGATAAATAGGCAGGAAAATTATTTTCAAAAAGGGAGCGATGTACCTCGTACGGATATCTCCCTGTACGCCACTGTAGAAAGGAAAGAAATTGAAGATGATTTTTATTGCCTCCCGCCAAATTTGAATTAGATATTAATGAAAAAACACTTCAAAAGTAAAACTTTAACACTCATAACTTTAAAACGAAGCGTAAGTAACCTTAAGTTCAATTGTCTTTCTGAGTAATCTGTGGTTGCTGTATGACCACTGTTTTCTAGGACACCCTGTATATTAAAATCTGCTATAAACGTTTATCATGAAAACGAAAAATTATGGAAATTTTATATATTTTCTTAGTCTTCGAGTCTTATTTAATTTTAAAAAATTTACATTTACATTTAATGACAATAATTTTTCGATTGTTTTTTATTTTACTTCTAATTGTTTATGTAAATATCCCCTCAAAAATTAAGCTGAGAATATGCCTAAAAAAGTTTATTTGAAAATTTTTGCCGTTTCGACAGATAATGGCGATGTAAACGCTTCCAACGGGTCCATATTTAGTTTTTTTGCCAGGAATGCCAAGTGCTTCCGTTCAATTAAATATTTCGCGTTGCCGCCGCAATTTATCCTCGCATCGTACGTCCCGCATTTTTTATGTCGTTGGGGGCGACGCGACGGGAGGCACTAGTTGAGTTGCAATAACAAGTCCGCATCATTAAATTTTCACCCACCGCACCAGCGATCAAACACCCGGCCCCGCGCAATGTAGCAAAGTTGATTTACTTTACGACAAAAATAGCGCTTTATGTACTAGCCGCCGAATTGGGTCACGTTTTACCTCGGTTAGTCCCGAAGATAAAATTTTTAGATGCCGGTGTACTACTTTTTTTTCAGCAAACTTATCGATCTTGATACGGAGGGAGGATGGGGTTGGTTGCTCTCGCCACATCGGTCGTCCTCGTTCATTATGAAATGCTGCTTGCATTTTGCACGCCCCGTTCCTCTGCAGGTCACGGTTGTTCTGGGATTCTGGTGATACAGCGGTGCGAATAAAAAATTGTGCTAGGGGTACGGCATACTTTTGATACCAGTGACGGCTGGTGCAGGGGGCTTTGGGCGCCGCCTCCCACTCCAGAAATTTTCGCAGTAAAAAAATTTATTTTAAAATTTACAATGTCATCTAGATAATTACATAATTAAATTAATAGACATTAGTCTTATGAAACATAAAAAACATAAAAAAACATAAAACATAACTTAACATAATATAAATTTAACATAAACAAAAACATAAAAAGGAAATGTTAAATTTGTAATGAGCAGTCAGTTTAAATGTACTTGCAAAAATTCATTTGAAAAACACCAAATACATGAGCTCTCGTAGCTCGCCCCTAAATCTATAAAGTGTTTACAGTGGTGGTCATGGTCCCAGTCGCGCAGCAGTGAAAGACGAAGTTTGGGCTATATTTAATCCGCTAGTAATCAAATGATAGCTGCTTTCTACTTTTTTTCTTATTAAACGTAGTTTCTTTATACGTGTGGTGTAAAATTTTGTAAGCTACGTATTGTTTCTTGAGTATTTTTTAAAAGACTAAAAGTTTAAATTAGATTGTAAAGACAGTACTTGCAATCAGCGCCGTATTTAGGCACAGGCAGACTAGGCACTGCCTATAGACCCCACCAATTTTACACCTATATCAATTTGAAAACATTTTTCTACTGATTTTGCTGACAAGAAATCTCGAAAAGCATTATTTTAAATTATGTAATAATAAGTGTTAAATAATTTGTAACCAAAATTTTACCAAATTATATAGATTAATTATAATTTAAATTCAAATATAAAAACTTTTTTTAAGTATCAATTAATTAATCAATAAGTAATCAATCAAAAGTATTATTACTTTAGTACTAAAATTAATTATTATGCACTACACTTTATAATTAAATTAGTGGGAAAAATATTCACTAATTTTTGTTAATTTGTAAATTTTTGTTCCTAGAGAAGATAAAATTTAATTTTCTTTGCAATGTTTAAACTGTTCCGTTGAAAACAAAACTAATAAAAAAAAACTATTTAATAAATTCGAGAGAAAATCTTGAAAGAGGCGCATAAAAAATAATGTTATTTTCAATCCCTTAACCCAAATCCCAAATTCCTGCCTATAGGTCTCACAAGCGTAAATACGGTGCTATGTATTGAAAAATCAGTGGTGCCAGAAATACCAAACTTTAATAAAAAAGTAATTGAAAAGTTTATTACGCACAAAGGCAGACGAATGGACTTGTAACTACAAAAAAATATTGTTGAGCACATTGTCCCCATATTTCAATAGCAGTTAAAATAAAACTACCCAATTATTGTTTTTTTTTTCGATACTTTATACCTAAATTTTTCCGCCATCTCTGGTATGAAAGTCAAGTGCCGCCAGTGTTGGACACCCTGACTTTTTTACTGTTTTCTATTTTTTGATAAATTTTGAAAGCAAAAAAAAAGTTTCTTTCGATTCTTTTGTGTGAAAACTAATTAATTGATTGTACAAGAATTTGTAACTTTAGTATAGTCTTTCCGATATCAATTGAAGAACTAAGACGTTGACGGTATGTACCAGGTTCGGTCGCTGACACAGCAACTCGGCATTGAAATATTTGAAAAACTTGTTCCCATATTTATTTAACTATAACCCATATACAGGTCTGAAGACTATAATTCTAGGTACTTTCTTAATTTTTTTTTAACAATTTCTCAAAGTAGAAACTTCGATTGAATTATATTGTTTTCCCAAGGATGACCGAAAATGTTTTATTTCTCTTTCGGTACGGTTAAAAGAAAATTAAAAGGCGATTATTTTTTTGAATGGTGAAAGATGTATTTCAAATTACTGTGACTGTAAGTTACAAATAATAAAAGATGAAATAAGTAATAACAGACTAAACATCGCATGCTAACTATAGAAACAGCCAAAAAGAAACACATTTAAATAATTAAAAACGAAAAGTTATTATCAGTTTAGAAGACGAAAACAGATTGATTTTCGAAACGTAGACAATTTTTTGAGAAGTACGCAACATGTAGAGCGTGGATCTTTTGTATTTTGTAAACGTCTGCTTTTTTCAGTGTGTGATTTTTGGTTAGACAAAACTAATTTTATAAAAAATAGACCTTGATTGATTCTTTTAACGCAAGCGTTTGTTTCATAATTTTTTAAAATTTTATTCACAGATGGCAAAATACACAATAAATAAAGAAAAAAAATTATTTGTCTCGTTCCATCTTTTGAAAAATTACACCAATGCATGCAATGACAGCCAGTGAAATAGAATGTTGTATTTTAATGTAATCTTGACTTTATTGTATTAATAATTTTTAATTCTACCGAAATTTAATTGCAACATGAAAGAAATAAAATCACTGTTCCAAACAAAATTACTAGTCACGTGGCTTGTAATCTTTTATGAAGGCTCTGTGGTGTTCAATTAACATCTACGTCAACTATCACTAGTTGAAGTTTGACATATTTAAGGTTATTTATAAACAGTGTAACTTGCTTTTAAGAAACTGGCAGCAATGACTAGGGCATACAAAAAGTGACGAGAATTTAGAATTGTACTAAAATTATATAGGCATTTTATAAAAAAGAAAAAAAATCTAAATTAGAACCAATTATGCC